GAGAGAGAGAGAGAGAGAGAGAGAGAGAGAGAGAGAGAGAGAGAGAGAGAGAGAGAGAGAGAGGGAAGGAGAAAGGCAACTAGGGCGAGGAGGAAGAGGAGGACGGTGAGGACAAGGAGGATGAGAGAGGGAGGACGAGGAGCAGCAAGAGCGGAGGCGGCGGCTGAACTGCTGGATGACGGAGGGGCAAGGGTGAGGGTGCTGAGCGGCAGCTCGGCCAACGTGGATTCGTGAGGAGGAGACGCTGGAAGGAAGACGATGATTATACAAATTTAAATCATTCCTCGGTCTTATGACTCTTTTTTCTTATTATGATAATTCTCTAGTATTGCATGTATGATAATACTATGATTAGTATTATTTTATTTATGATTAGTTAATTTTTTTATCATTCAATACATTCTTTTATATCTTCATTTTTTTTCAAATAATTTATCTATAATATATGGGGAAAGGGAGAAGCCACACGGCAGGGGGAGGGTGAAGGGGGTTTGACCCTCGAGGCAGGTTCTAGACTCAGGGTTTTAGTGGTTTATTATTATTATTATTATTATTATTATTATTATCATCTTTTGCTGCTTTTCTTTTTGTAGGAATGTTTTTCCGTTTCTTCGTTAACGGTTCTTACAGATGGGTAGGGTGTCTGATCATTGACAGGCCTATAGTGTGATTTGGCGGGCTATTACAATGAGGGGGTCCACTTGATATGACGTAGGGGGGTTCTCTTGATTCTACGTCATCTAATCTACCACGTGGGCACCCTGTGATCTCCCCTCCGCACCCCCCCCTCTCTCTCTCTCTCTCTCTCCCCCCCCCCCCCCCCCCCCCCCCCCCCCCCCCCCCCTCTTCCCCGAGGGGGATGGGCAGTGCAATGATACTAAGGCACCGCTGGAGCGGTCGAGTAGGCAAGCCCACCCCTGTGACCACTCCGTAGCCGTGAAAAATAAATAAATAAATAAATAAATAAATTCTGTGGCCCGTTGGACCATGGATCAGATATTAAAATGCTCAGAACAGATACTACAGTACCGACAGCATTTTTCGTACCCCCTGGGTCCGAAATTCAATGAATTTGGACCGGAGGGGCAGGCCGATTCGGCTACCACGTTCACGGCCGCCCCAACTGGT